TTAACCCTAACCAAATTTCAATCATAGAGGCCTGGCCTTAATACAAACGAAACTCCAACTCTGAATGCAAATACATTTTTTTTTAAACCGGTTAGATAGACTAACTATATAAAATAATCTAAATTAGATTCTAAATGCGCTGAACAAATTCAGACAGCTCACTTTTGCGTGCTCTATTTTAATTAAATAGGAGGGGAAATTCCACAGGCCTGCAGGTAGAGTGGCGCGTGGGACGTCATTCCCGCCAAATGAAATTATGACAAAAGACAAGGTGTAGTGGCGCCCCCTCACATGTCTCTAACACTAGAAAAACAAAACAAAGGGGGGAAACTGCCATGGAATGGTACACTTTGGGTTGTAGGTTATCGTACCGTCTGGACTAAAGAAAAAAAATTATATAGGCCTAACTGTATAGGCTATAGCAGGGGTGGGCAATTATTTTGACTCGAGGGCCACTTTGTTTGTGGTAGCCGATTTTAGCGGAGGGCTGCACCGTTTAAAATGATTGTATTCTTTAGTTTACTTTACATTTCATTTCAGAAATAAATGGTATCTTAAAAATCAATAAATAGAACTTACAGAAAGTGGTAGTTTTATTAAATGTATTTATTGTGCTAATGTCATATTATTATCTAGATTTCTAGCGGCTAGCACATTTAATAATAGAATCAGTTCAATGAGACAAGTGCACCCTCTCTGACAAACCGAAAAAGTGCGTATTTTCACTACCTCGACATAGCCGCTCTAATGGAAAAATTACGAGACTAGGCTAACTTTCGGTCGCGGACATGAAACAAATCTCATTTTTAGGGGTTTTCTGAATAAATGGCGGCCCAAAAAAAAATCTGTAGCGGGTCACATATGGCCCGCGGGCCGTACTTTGCCTACCCCTGGGCTATAGGCATACATTGAATGCTTATTTTTATATAGAAGTTCTACACACCCGATTAATTGTTTATTGAATGGTCTGTAGGTTTAAATTTAGCTGATCTCAAATAAACTGATTGATGGGGCCTATTTAAAGACAAGAGTAAATAATAAAATTATAATTGCTATCTTTTGCCAACCAGATGGAGACGCTAGGGCGAAAAATCTTTTTCCGAGTAGTAACTTCGTATTTAATATTTAGATCTAGAATCTGGGTCTAAATCTGATAATGTTGTAAACGAAATTAGAACTAGGTAGACATAGAATTTAGAATCTACTTATTTAATTAAATTTAATAACAACATTTTGTTCTATATTCGATTCAAAATTCACACACACACACACACACACACATATATATATATATATATATATATATATATATATATATATATATATATGTAAAACGATGTATGTGTGTTTGTTTGTTTGTCCGTCTGTCTGTCTGTCTTTTATGCATTACTACACCTCTCATCCGATCGCCGTGAAGCTTTGAGAAGTTGTAGAGAAATTCGCAGGGGTAGCGCACCGGCATGGCGCGATTCTTCTCTATATACTATATATTTTAAAAAATGAAATTCGGATGCGGTTCTTTACCGTTTATCCGAGTGCTATAAAACTTTCGGGAGTTGATGAGAATACTCCCGAGAAGGTTTCTGAGTGGAAAAATTTAATTTCGCACGGGCGGCCCCCGGCGGGAAGCGATTTGTGCCCCGGTCTTTTCCGTGAGCGCTATGGCGCCTAAGTTCGTTTCAAACAGTGGAGTACGTTATTGGATAAAATGGGGCGCTATAGTCGTTAACTAAACATAATCAGGCGCGTCCGCCGGCACCCCGGCAAGGTTCGATTGGCACCCCGGGCTATCACGTGAGCGATATGGCATCCACGTCCGTTTTAATCATTACGAAAACTATGCATAAGATTGGGTTTTAGAGTCGTTAACTAAACATAATCAGGCGCGCCCGCCGGCGGTATTAGATTTGGTGCCCCTGGCTTTTTTGGGCGGTAGCGTAGGAAACCCGTTCCCCGATAAATATAATCCAAGCGCAGGCATTGTTTAAATTTAAATATCTCATTTTTAGAAAACAAGGTCACGCGTCTAAGAATATAGGATTGGTAAAGCATTGATGAAACCCTCCTGATATATTTCGTCAGATTTTATTTGTCTTTTATGCATTGCTTAATTTTTCATCTGATCGCCCTGAAACTTTGGGAAGTTTTTACGAATACTGTTGAGAAGATGGAGTGGCGAAAAAAATTCAATTTTGCATGCGCGGCGCCCCGGCAGGGTGCAATTTAGCGCCCTGGGCTATCCCGTGAGTGCTATGGCGCCTACGTTAGTTTTAAACAGTGGAATAGACTATGAATAAAATATGGCGTTTAGTCGTTCACTAAACTGAATCCGACGCGTTCGCCGGCGCCCGACAGGTTGTAATTTGGCGCCTTGGGCTATCCCGGTAGCACCATGACGTATACGTTCGTTTTAAAAATTGTGATAGAATATGGATAAGAAGTTGTATTATAGTCGTTCACTAAAGTGAAACAGGCGCGTCTCACCGCGCCCCCGGCAGAGTACGATTTGCCCCGGACTATCCTGGGACAGTAAAGTTGGGACTTTTTTTAACACCGCCGGAACGCGCATGGACGGGCACGCTAGTAATAATTTTTTTTATTAAATAGGCCTAACAATTTAAAAAAAAATGTAACTGTCTCTAGAATGTAGCTCTAGATTCTAACTATTTTATTTAGCAAACGAAATTATGTAAAAATTGAAATAGATTGTATGACTGGACTTAGATCCAGAATCTGCTACTTAAATTAAAAATTTTAAACTGTCCTAGCAGGCAGTTGATATTTTGTAGTAGAAGGCTTTAATAAATAATTTAGGCCTACCTACTATGTGTCTAATTACAGTAATATGTACCTTATACTGGACTGAGTGAGGTTAAATTTAGAAGCTGATCTGCGCTTTTGATTTCCCTTTGTTCTTCCTGTCGGGCCCTGAGGGTAATAGATTACATAAGGGATGCTTTCTCTGGTTGGCTGAGTCTCCCCCCCCCCCCCCCCCCGAACGAAATGAAATAAATTTATATGGAAAATATATACTTTTAATAGTGTCCGCCCCCACCCCCCACCCCGAAAAAAGTCTACCGCCCCCCCCCCCCCCCGAAAATTTCAAGTACCCTCCCTCCTCCCCCCCCCCCCCCGGAGAAAAAGTTCTGGAAGAAACACTGCCTACAAAGAAATGAACTTTTATGCAGAGGCGTAGCGATCCCTCCCGACGCCCGGTGACAAACTTTCAATTTGGCGCCCTTCCCCACAGTGGCGTAGCGAGGTTGGGTGTCACCCGGTGCGGCACTTAATGGTGTCACCCCCCAAGTTTTCGATTTGCACCCCCCTCAAACTTTGGATTTGCACCCCCCCCCTCAAGTTTTCGATTTGCACCCCCCTCCCTCAAACTTTTGATTTGCACCCCACCCTCAAGTTTTTCTCTATATATTTTGCTATTTTTTGCCTTGGTGTCACCCCCCTAAATGGTGTCACCCGGTGCGGTCCGCACTCCCCGCCCCCCCCCCCCCTCGCTACGCCCCTGCTTCCCCATATATTTTTTATATTTATAATTCAAAACTTCAGCTATAAAGAGCTTTTAATTTTTTTCCACCTTATTTTGGCGCCCCTTGTATCGGCGCCCGGGGACATATATATTGTTCTCTTGATTCTCTCAAAATTGTGAGTGATTTCCGACGAACGTAAGTATTACTTTACGCTATTTCCGATTTCTGAAAAATGATCACTTCTAGTTCTACCGTACCGATTTCTTCAAAACTATTCAACTAGGTCTCGACAATGCATGATCGCATAAAATTCGTCTGAATTCGATTTTTATTTAACTTTTTAAAAATTAATCAATATGTTCCATTTATAAGGCATTATAGTTTTCCGCTCTGGTAAACACACATTGTTTATGGTTATTTTGTTATTTTCGTGTAAATCAATATCAATCGAATTATTAGTTAGAGGCTCTCTAAGATACATATCCAATATATACGATATACTTCAATTAAGCATTAATAAATAAACATTTAAAATGCCATTCATCTTTTTAAAGGTACTGTCTGGATTATGGAAGACTGTGAGGAGGGGAGGTGAATTGGTAAAGAAAAATGCAATACTTAAATTATGGGCATAGACATGAGAGAATAATACAGTTTACAAAGATATACGCAATTTCTGTGCAATGGTTTAGAAATAATACTGCAGGTTGAACATAGTTCTATGATAAAGAAGTACTCGTATGTTATCATTTTATTATTTTAACTTTGTAGAGATCCTAGTATTGTAAATAAGTTGGGAAAATGTTAAAATCTGCCGTGACGGCTATTTAACTAAGCGGACATATTAACTAAAGTGTAGGTGTTTCATCAGGCCTATGCAGTATGGTTTCATATGGAACTTGAAAGTATGTTGCCCGCTGTTTTTTAGTAAAATTGAAGAAACGACAAGTTTACGCTAGAACAATATCCAGGACAAATAACGAAATAGACAATCAATTTTTTCGACCATAACCGAAAGCATAAAAAACAAAACAAGAAAAGCTGAATACAAATAAAAAAGTATTTCTTATAGTTGTTTTTTTTAACGAATGTATTTGGCTTAAAGTCCATATATCCTATATATTAGCCTATATTGCCTATATACTATGCTTCATGTCGACTATAGATATAACTTCTCTTTCTCTCTTAATACTGTATTATTTTTAGCCTCTTCCCTGTTTTAAAAATAATTTAAACAGAATGTATTCTGTAATTAAATATCGCTTGATCATCCAACACATCGAAATACATATAGATCTAGGCCTTGATTTAGCCTGTTTAGTATTATAGTTATTGTTGATAATAATTAAAAGAAAATGCCAATCTGGCCGATCAGGCATGAGTGAAAGGCACGTGATATATTGTGACCAATGGAAAATTAGAACTGGTAAAGCCTAAGCCTGTGCTTTTAAAATATTGTACAACGATACCTAACTATGTTAGGCTAGACCTAGATCTAGCTTCTTTTGTTAATCCCTAGTAGGCTAAACATTACGTGTAGGAACTTTGTATATTGATATATGATTACATTAAGTGTGTTTATTGTTTTTTTTTTTACAAATACACATAAAAGATAAGTTTAATTATCAGATGGATATAGAATGCTTTAGATAGAGGTTTCAATACTCGACAATGAAGTTTATATATGTAAAAGAAGAATGATAGAATCTAGATTAGGGCAAGATTTTGCGACCTCAGACTGTTTATTTTCAAAGTTGATTGGGTTTTTCTTTTTTCTATTCTCATCTATCTACGCTGAAATCGATGCAAATAATATAAGCTATCGTTAATGTATATTAACTTTTGTTTCAGTTGTAGGCCTATTTTGAATAAACATTCAACATTTCTGATGCCTTGCAGTAGCGTTAATTGATCCACTCTAAAATGAATCATATTTAATATACTATTTATACAATCTTCAAAAGAAAATGCTGGACACTAGATCTAGTATTGAGCGTTTTATCGTGGTATAGTGGGTTACAGTGGTAGAAAAGTAACAACTGCCTGTGGTCATTATAGGCCTAACATTAAGCGAAATGGGTATAAAATATATTCCTGCTTTATTAAATTGCGTGATGTATGAATTTAAACGTATGCTACAACCTAACGCCGAGGATTTTACATACTTGTATCTACGTTTATCGCTCAAGAAAAATTTGAGAACGGCTAATCAATCAGTTGGCAAATATTAATTCTACTAGATCTATATTTCAAATACGCACAAAATCGTTTACATTTTTTATTTTGTATAACAATATACTTTATTTATATGATGATAAAAATAACAGTACTTTCAGATAGACTGAAAGCGATGTCAGTTTCATTTATCATTTTCCCTCTTTTTCCCCTTGTATCTGGCTATTATTTTACCAGTTCGAGATAGTTCACCCGCAAGTGTTCTGAATAAATTATGCTAATTTTATGTTCCTAGCTGGTCCGTCATGGCGTCTGTTTGAGCAAACGCACAAAGAAATTGCCGGCATACCCCATATTTGTGATATAAGATAAAAACAGATCTTCCTTTACATAAAGTTTAAGGTGAGCACACATATGTTTTGTTGCAGTGTCTGTTGTAGAAATATTTATGCTGCTTAACTTAAATCGTGAATGAATTGAAATTAAATGTACTTATCGCTATCGCCCTAGTTTAGTACGTAGCGTCGACCATCCCCACGGACTGGAAGTGGTAATGAAGCAACGCTGAAGCCTATTGAGGTTGATTGAACTGATCTAGACTAGATCTAGATTTTATAGCCGATTTTTTTTCTAGACTAGTTCTAGATCTAGCTTTAAACGTCTATGTTCTAGAATGTGTTGTCTTATTATCCCCCATCGAAATTGGCATCTTTTATTTTAAATAATTTAGAGAGGGCAAACTGCAAGTGAAAAGAGATCAGTCATTCAATGGTTCTTAACCTTTTTGGAGGACTCCCTCCCACCAGCTTCATATATCCAATCCTTCTTAATGGGAAAAATAAAATATTTTTTTTTCTCTATAGCCCATCACTCTTTATGCAGCTGATGATTAAATCAAATGACAACAAGCACTTTGATGCTGACGTTAATATAGGTACTAGGATAAATTTTCAAAATTGGGTTTTTGGGGAAACAACTACTACAGTTAAAAGGAGCAGAAAATTACAATAACAGAACCGTTTTCATTTTTGATGTAGCTCAAACGGTTAAAAAGTTATGATTTTTTTTCGTATTAAAAAAAGCGTTTTTTTTAACATAGGATTTTTTTCAATTTCTGTGTTAGAATTTTTTTAAGCATTTACTAAAATTGTCATAGCCTGTAAACCGTGTGATCAAATTTGTTATAACTTTGTAGTAACTTAAGTTATCATATATGTTAACATAATAAAAAATAAAAAGAGAACTTCATAGGTAGAATTCTAAAAAAAACTGGAGGTGAGGAGGGGACCCCCTTGTTTTTGCATTCACAGTGCTTTCATACAATCACAGTTTAAAGTTAAACTATTTGAAATATCAAGCTGAAAATTGCTCAGAATGTGTGGCTATGGATGAGATCATTAATACCATCAAAATATTGATCATAATTTGAAAGTTTTTTGTTCAAAGAGCAAATGAGCTGATAAATTATGCATTTGTACAAAAACCGAAATCTGGTTAGTGTAAAATGGAAAATGATGCCAAATTTGAACTTTTAAGTATTTATGTCTCAAAATTGGCCTGATTGTAGTTAACCCTAAACCTAAATAGATACAATCAAATTGTATGTTTTAGTTATATATGTCTGCCTAAAATAGGGGGTGGAAGAATGTACCCCTCTATATTTTTAACACCGAAACTTTTCACACAACTCAAAATTAACTCAAACTATTTAAAATATCAAGCTGAAAACTGATCAGAATGAAGTTCTGTAAGTGTGTCTGTTAATATTATATAAATATTGATATTGGTAAGTTTTATTAATGGTTATATGTGAATTCTAATTTTTTTTAATATATGAAACCATATTTTAAACTATTGTAATTTGTTTTAGAAAATTTAGGATGAACAAGTTATTTATTTCCATCAAAGAAATTTAATTTTCATCACTGTTTAATATTACATTGTTCTTCCTTTGCCTGTGCTGTAGAATTGCAGTTTCTATCTGGAATAATGAACATTACTTTAGTAACATGTCATTAAAATAAATGAAACATAACTAATTAGTAAACTGACCAACCACTGTAGACATACGGTCATTAAGATCGACTTATTAAAATTCCCGACAAACCCCTTGACATCATTAATGACTTATTGTGCGTGACAATAATTCCCGTCATTAATGCTCACGTCAATATGTGCTTGACAATAACTCCCGTCATTAATGCTCACGGCAATCTGTGCGTGACAATGACTCCCGTCATTAATGCTCACTGCAATCTGTGCGTGACAATGACTCCCGTCATTAATGCTCACGGCAATCCGTGCGTGACAATGACTCCCGTCATTAATGCTCACGGCAATCTGTGCGTGACAATGACTCCCGTCATTAATGCTCACGGCAATCTGTGCGTGACAATGACTCCCGTCATTAATGCTCACGGCAATCTGTGCGTGACAATGACTCCCGTCATTAATGCTCACGGCAATCTGTGCGTGACAATGACTCCCGTCATTAATGCTCACGGCAATCTGTGCGTGACAATGACTCCCGTCATTAATGCTCACGGCAATCTGTGCGTGACAATGACTCCCGTCATTAATGCTCACGGCAATCTGTGCGTGACAATGACTCCCGTCATTAATGCTCACGGCTATACAGTTCCAGAATCTAGCTCTCCTCAAAATGGCTCAAAATAAACGCCGTAGATAAAAAAAAAACTAATTTTGTTAGTATTCAAGATCTAAAAAGTCCACAACATTAAAGAAGAATTCAAATAAACAGGACTACTGCGTTTACAATCAGAACAGAGCGTTGAAAACTTGGAATACTGTTTTAAATCCTTCATTATAAACTACGGTAAACGATCTTCCATAAGTGACGTCATTAACCCTCCCCCCTATCCTCATTGGTACACTACGTCACCTTTCTTAACCCCAACCCTCGATGCTCACGTAGAACAATGTCAACCTCGGGTCAACGCGTCGTTCAGTGACGTCAGAGGACTGAGGACAGATTCCCGGTGAACGCAGTTAATTGGGGGGGGGGGGGGCATAACCAACAATAATAATGTCAGTTTCGCGTGTTGGTTTAGTAATTAGTAGTGGGCCATCCATACAATAGATCTACATGACGTCACGGAACTGGAGTCCACCGTACTTACTCAACCCCCCCCCCCCCCCCCCCCCCCAACACCCATCTCCTATGTGCAACACATCATCCAAAACGTTATGCCCTCTCGGTCTCAACCTTAAACCGACCGCTAAATGTATGCGTACATGACAGCATTTCAAATAATAAAGTATATAGGCCTAAATAAAGAGTCAATGGGGAATGTGCTATTATTTTCTAGAACTGTCAATTCAAACGATATAGTGATATTAATTAAACAAAGTCTATACTAAATAATAAAAAAATAACTGAATACAGTGTAAATTGAAAGTCATATTTAATAAGTCGGTAGTGTTGTTAGCGTGATCGGGCTAGGCCTCTCACGGTACTTCCGGCTTTCCTTTCGTTTTGAGCCGTAACCATCAGAAATGGCGAAGTACATACCTTCTTGGGGAGTGAACCATTAACAATGGGAGCAACTTAGAACTCTAAATTAATAAAGATAATACGTAGAAATGGTCCCTATGTTTGAGTCTCTACATAAAGTGGACGTGTCTTCAATAGTTATTTTGTAATGAATAAAATAAACTTACCTTATTTTCAAAGAATAACTCCTCTTTTTTGGGTCCAGTAGAAAAAACAAAAAAAAACAAACAAGCTTGATATCCATTTATCTCCTTAAAACAATCATCACAAGAAAAATGATCACACGGAAGCGGCGAATTAAGCAAATTTTCGAACATCGTCACTCGCGCGATCGCCGAAAACGCAACAGCCTGGTAACGGGAGAAAAATCACGCCGCGGCGCGAGCGTAATCCTAGTACCTACGTTAATATTAAGGCCGATTCTAGCCGGAATAAGATATGCATGCGATACGCATGCGCAATGGAGAGAAACTACGACTTGCCTTAGCGGCGATGTTTTCGATGGTACTGCGCATGCGTGTGTTTACAACTGCAGAACCTAACACCAACCCTAATCTTAACCCTAGCCCTAGCCCTAACCCTAGCCCTATCCCTAATCCTACCCCTAACCCTCATTCTAGCCCTAACCCTAGCCATAGGTCACTGCGCATGCGCAGAGCTATCTTTTGCCGACTAAGTGGAGACGTTGGCGAGAAAAATCTTCTTCCGAGTAGACACTTCGTAATATTAAAGAGCTCCGTGCACTAGGACTAGATTTATAGTTTATAAATATTGTGTGCTACTAGATCTAGATCTATAGGCTGATTAAATCAATGCAGGGTTGCCATCTAGTATTCCAGCAGTAGTGTACATTTTGGTGCCGGGGTTTACCAGGATGTGTCAAAATAATAGTAGGGCCTAATAAATTAGAACCCTTTGTGTGTGATGTGACTTCCCTATGTGCATTGTATGTTGCCAAATGAAAAGAAAAAAATATTTTGGGCCTACTGGATTTGTTCCAAACCCATGCCACTTGACAGGGTCACCAACGCACTGTCATCTTGGCTAGTGAGGCACATACTTTTTCATATAGGCCTAAGCCTATATTTCATATTATTTTACCTGCTTTCTGTTAAAATTTTTACGGAAGGCCACACTTCACCATTTAGTAACATTTAAATTTCGCCATATATTATGTTTAATTCAATTAGGCCTATATCCTAATTTTATTGCCATAAACAAAGACGTAGCCTATATGAAACATAAGACCTGAAATTAATGAGTTAAGAAAAAAAATTCAATAATTTGTTGTTTTTTATAGCCTACTTTTTTTTTTAACTAATTAATTTTGGATTGGCCTACATTCTTCTTTTCTCAGACAGCTTAAATCTAGTGTATCAGTAGATCTAGTTGAATTCATTCTTTTCTAGAAAAGAAGAACCAGCAGGCATATCTATCTTATTGAAAATTATTGGGACCTAATAAAAACAGATATCATTACAGCTATGGTAGACAGAAAATTTATTAGCTTGATAATGTACATAACTTTTCAATCAGCAAGTCTTTTTTTTTTTTTTTGTGAAAATATTTTCTTGACTATTAAACATGTTTTAGTGTTCAAATAAATTTGTGTGCACCAAAAAATAAGCATATTACCTTAAAAGAACATTTTTCTCAACATATAAAGTTTTATAGTTGTACACAAAGTGCAGATGCTCTGATCAAGTGGAACCAACAAAAATAAATAAATATACAAACTTATTAACAATATTTACTTTTAGTAGACTATACATTGTTTTTAATTGCATTGTATATTGGATTTTTTTTTTTTCCAGAACCATTCCCGTACCATGGATTTCGATTCCTCTTCCAAGTTTATTTCTTCTTTAGCCAAGTTTCTACAGTCTTTATGTAATGGTTATGTAGAATTTAACAGTGGTGTTGAAGTGATTGGACATATTTACTTAAATGTTGACACAGGAAAGAAAATAGACTACATTCTAAATGAAAAAGTGTGTAAAACTGATGAAAATTCTGTTACATTTATCAGTAACAGTTTTCATGCTCAACCTGCAGAAAAACCTAAGCCATCTTTGAAAAACTCTTCCGACTCAACAAATAAACTCAATGACAGTGTTGAAATAAAAAACACAGAAGATGAAATCGTCATAATGGACGAACCAGAGAGTAAAAATGTAGGAACATTGCCTTCCAGGGATAGTTTTCGTAGAAAAACTGGAAGTCCTCACTCAAAATTTGGTCGACCAACAAAACGTCCTCATCAAAGTTTTTCACATGGTCACAAACATTTATCAAAGCATCATAAACCTGACCCCTCATCTGGCCCTAATGGTGCTCAACATGATACAGAATCATTACATTCTGAAAGTAATTCCTCCTCCAATTTTGTTACACCTCAGTTAACCAGTGAAACTTCATTAGCAGCAGCTTCAGACTCTGAAATATCTCATCTTTCCAAAGTCTTTCCACAATCATTTGGTGATACATCGAACAATCAAAATGCAGCTGAAGAAAGGGATATTAAACCTCAGTTAGATAGTGAAATGAATGTTATTCAGGTTAAACAAGAGTTTAGTCATTCAGAGCATGGGGAGGAGGAACAAGAAACATGTGAGTGATTTTTTTAATACATTTTTGATATTGTGAACATGTCTTTATTTTAAATTAAATTATTCCATTAAAGAAAACAAATTTAATACCCCAAATGTTATTGGAACTGAAATAATACAGCTTAAAAAAAATTGGAACTCATAGCCCATGAAAATGTGGTGTCTGGAAAGGAGCTCCCAAGAAGTTAATAGCTTCTTTTTTTTTAAATGGTTTTCTGTCTTTTTTTTTTTTTTTACTTCTATTCATACTTAATCATTTGTCAAAACAACAAAATCCAAATGTTTTTATATTGTTCAGTATAAAACGTGTAAAAGTCTATATGATAAAGTGTAGCAAAAATTACATCACGTTAAAAATCGATTTTACCATTATTTGCCTTTTTTTTAGCTTGTGAATTAACGTCAATAAAAACTACTCATACTTATAAATTACAAACTATATGGCTGAGCTATGTGTATTTATTTTTTTTTTTTATTTCTTGTCTCATTGTAAGCCTAACATCCATTTACTATAGTCTTGCATTAAATTAAGATTTAACAAAACCAGCAGTTTTAATATATCTTAATGTGGACCCTTTTTTACATACAAATTCATACAACAGCAACATACCTCAGGCTCAGAGGTAGTGTTGCTAAGCAGCTAGACAATAGACCATTATTATTGTTAATGTTTGAAATGACACAGTTCATATTTTAACTTAAGCTTTTCAACTTACAAGCTACAGTGAAATAGTATACTGAATTTTAAAGCTTTTTTATGATACTCATTTTTTTTGTGTCGTTATGACTTTTAACTTTTAAAGCTGGCCATGCAAGTTTTTTTTTTAATTTAATTCCTGCTCAGCATATTTCCATATTACTTGACTCGGGTGTTAGATAATAAAATGGCATTTATCACTTTTTAGTTTTCATAGGGTTACTCAATGAAACGGCTTGTATCCTGGTGTATGTAGCCCATATAAATGCTGTATGTCTAAATTAATTGTAACTATTTTTACCTCTATTTTATTAGTTTTTAAAAATCTGGCTATACAGAATGCTGGAGAATTAAAAAATATATGAGCTTCTGGTATTTTTAAAAATTCCTTTCTATTCATCCTAGTTATTTTTAAACTAGTGAACTATTTATAAAATATTAGTTACACATTTATTGTAATAAAAATAATTAGTTGTAGTAGGCCGACTAGTACTACTAGGAATTAAATCTAAGTGTGTATACAACAAAAAACAAATGCAATATTGACTTCTGAAAACTAAAGGTATAACTTAAGGCCAAATTAATTTTTTTTTTTATTTTAAAGTAATTGCTAGAATTTTTAAAAAAATGTAATTAATTTTAGCCTTGACCAATGAATTAGCATAAAGCATTTGCCTTATAATTTAACATTTTACAATTACAATGCCAATGTTCAACTTCTCTATGGTATATTAAAGTAGTAGGAAAATAAAAGATTGCAGTATTTTTTACAATAAAAACTAACATAACTTTATTAGGCTCTCCATATTTTAAAGCTTGTTGTTTTTGCATAATTGAGTCAAGCTCCAAATTATGTTAGAAAAGTGTTCATCACTTGTTTAAAATATATTATTTTTAAGATTAATTACTGTATTGTCACATCCCAGCTTTAAAAAACTAGGTTCTTTTGGGCAGTGTTTCATTTTAAAAACAAAACAAGTCTTGATTTGTTGGTTCTATGCAATTGCCAATGCTAAATAAATTCAGTACATTATGGTGTATTTGTGTGTGTGGTACACTGATGTGTATGGAATGTTCTGTGTTAGTGTTCTTTGTAATGCTAAATTTTTATCATTAATTTTTAAAATTTTGCAGATGATGATTCTCAAGATCATAGTACAGTTTTCCCTGGTATGCCTTATGATCAGTATTATTTGGAAGGCAGCAGGAGGGGTCATAGGTCAGAGTTTGGTCAAGCTGGTTTATCTCAAGATTTTTTCCCTGGAGCAGGACCATCAGGAGAGGGAATTGGAGATTCTTCAGGTTGGTCTTTTTATCTCTTGTATTATTTTTTTAGTGGCTAGCAGCAAGGAAACGATTTTTCTGTATTTTTATCATGAGGACAGAAATGAACATGTTTATTTTAATTTTTTGTGATAGTTCAGGTGCTTGAGTGAGTTTTTCTTAAAATTCATATTGCTTACATATACTGGTGTATAACCCAGATTTCTTGATCAAACATTTGCGGATCATTAGTAGTGTTTCTGTATCTCTCCAGTATACTTTTCAATTTTGTCTCTTGATTTTAGCTTTTAAACTAGGTTTCTTTTTGTTTGAATAGTGTATGAATTTATGATTTTTATGTAGGCAACTGTTGTGTATCTAGCCAATTCATTTCTGCAGCAAATAATATACTCAAGGACTTTGGGCCTATTTAATCTTTCTTGTAAAATAAGTATGTACTGTGGATTTCTTTATCCTTATACAAACATTCCATTTTGATTTATTTCTGGTGTATGTTTGTTTAATTCTGGCTTATTTTAGTCAATTAAGCATTTAAAACACAATGAACTTGTCTTGCAGTATACTTTCTAATTGTGGGGTCTTCCATATTGATTTTCTTTTGAAGCTCCTTTCATTCTTGTGATCCAGTGGTTTCCATTTGGCTTTATTGGTCTAGTTTTTTTTTTAATTGGTGTGTCTCCGAATACTCTTCAACTTGTTAAAGTGTCACATCAGGTTTAGAATGATTGTTAGGTCTGTGTGAACTTATTGTCCCTGCAAATTACTGTGGCTATTACTAATTTAAGGGCTCGGTGGAAAAGTTGCTCTTTTTTTTTCTTCAAAAATGAGTTAGAGACCTGCATAATTTTTATTTCATGCCCTAAACCATTCCTGTAAATTTGGAGAAAGTACCTAAGTGATTTAATTTCATAAAACTGTTGAAAAGTATTACATATTACATCATTTTAAAAGCTTTGGGCTTGTTTCTCAAAACTAAAATTATTTTTTCCACTGAGCCCTTCACTAGAGAATACCTCTTGATAACTTTTTCATGAAGCTGTGTTGGATATTGCAGATTCATATTTGCCAAAATACTTACTTTCATGGGCCATAAATTGTGGCATTTTAATCATAGAAACTATTGGGTAAAAATAAGTTAATTATAAACATGGTGTGAGATATGCTAATGAATGTTATATTAAATATATAAAAATAAAATGTCTATAAAACATGAAGAATTTTTTTATAGGTGTTAAAAAAACACTTGTTCCTTGCTGGTAGCTACACTCTGTAGAAAATTGGAATTTTAAATTTCTCAGTTATTTTTAGATACTTTAAATCATTTGTTATTATAACTTAAATTACGCAGAATACTCAGGACAAACTGGATGCAAAGAGAAATGTTAAATTCCATTTTTCTACTTAAAAAAAAGTGTTCAGAATATTTGTTGATTTTTTCAAATATTGTTTTTGAAATTGTCCATGGCTGTTTTGCACTAATTTAAATCAAAATACAAGATCTATATGAATTTATAAAAATAAAAAAATAAAAGATAATGCAATTTAAAAGTTTTGGTATAAAATGCTGTATTTGAAGTTGTCTGACAGTTTTCAACTGGAAGGGGGAGGGGAGGGACTTAAAACTTTCTCAGAAATATTTTTTAAAATTTTAATCATATTAAATATGAAATTTTATTTCATCAACAAAAGTTCTGGACATAACTCAGCATTTACTTAATGCTTATCTTCTTATTACTTTGAGTTTTTAATAAAATATTGAATAAAGTAATGAAAAGGCAAGATTAATACCATTCAAAATCTTTTTAGGTATATCAATTAGCATTTGGTTTGCTATCAACACTAAACTATTTTTAATTGTAAGGACAAACAATACTTGCTTGTTCATTATTTTCACTCTTGACCATATATTTTTTTATAACAGTTGCTTATAAGAGACAAAAACATGGCTCAACTCAAATGTTTTGAATTTTGTCCAAATTTAATTTTAAAATAAATGGCAAAAACTGGGACCCTATATTCTTTAAATTAATTAATCAAAGATATTTTAATACTTATAAGCAACTATTATTTATTGAAAGGTAAGTGATATCTTGTTGAAATTTTCTTAGTGTACTACTTTCTTAAAAAGTGTTCATAGTAAAGCATTTATTTTAAAAGGATACATTTTTCTGTGATGGCGAAATTTTGGGTTGTTTACCCATTAATTACAATAATTTATTTAAAGAGGGTTCGCTCTGCCATGTCACAAGAAAGGCTTGTTTGGCTATAAGCTTAACTGTTTCGGCGAAGAAAAAGTTTATAAATATATATTTAAACAAGAACTTGTTATTCTGAGTTTTCTGTTTTTTTTTTGTGTTTGTAAATTAGAATGAATGGATTGTCAATTCTGTCATCAGGGAAAATAATATCCTTTTATTCAATGGTTTCAACAGCAACTGTTTCAGTTGGTTTAATCATTTTATGGAATCCTCTTTTTCTATTCTTCTCTTATTCTCTTGTTTCTTTCTTAATCTCCTTTTTAATAGTTTGTTATACATTCCTTGAGCAATAACAGATGTGTGCCATCTATTTAATGTACATCAGACTACAATAATTCCATATTTTCAGCATATCAATATACTTTGTTTGATATTTGTTTTATTTAATTTAAAATGTGTGTATCAAGCAGTGCCTATTAAAGATTCTATTGGTCAGTTCTGGTGTTTGCATACAACTTATGAATAAAAATTCTTGATAACATTTAGAAGCTCTAATTAAAGACCTGCTACTGTTGGACTTTTTTTGTGTACATTACAGCTCTGTTGGTGAGGTTCACTTATTGTACCAACATTTGTGCTCATGGAGCAATACATTATGTTGCAACTTTTTATTCCCTTGTATCTCATTAAAAAATTTTTTGCTCATTTGTTGGTAAGATTTTGTTTAAGTGCAGTACAATATTAATATGCTTAAATAAAATTAAACTTGTGTGATAAATTTAACATTGCAAGTAAACACCCTTAAAGATGGTAGAGGTTTCATATATTAATCTTTAAACACAATAAGATGCTCCACTAGATATACAAGACTGTTTAATGACACATGATTCTGTATTAAATTTTTTTTTTTTGAAGACTGATGGCAATGCACATTTTAAGGTTATGGTGATAAATTAACAATCATGCTATCACATTGATTTTGTTAATAGCTTTTCTGTGAATTAGGCTTTTAAAAAATATACATTTTTAAGATAACTGTCATGGATTGCTTTATATTAGAGAGAAATAATTGTTGTGGTAGAAAATATGTAAAATGTACATTTGTATCAGACGAATATGAGTTACTTACTCATTTTTGAAACTACTGTACACTCCTTTATGATATCTATAGCAAGATGAATAGATAATTATTTTGATATTTTTTAGTAAAAGAGCCATTGTTTAAATGCTCTGTTGCTTATCAGTGAGTGTCAGAGGTTTACACCCACAATTTAGGGTTTATTTGTTTTTTTTATTTGTCTGCAGCCTCTGTGAGTGCGAGAGTGTACATTCAAGGGATAGGTGGTTTTAATCAAAAACCACAAAGTGCAGGAATGAAAACTTCCTCAGGACTGTATATTTGTCAATATTGCAATCGGACTTTTAAATATAAAGTTCACTATGATGGTCATATAAACACACATTTGAATCAGAAATCGTTCTCCTGTCCTAGTTGTGGAGCCTCGTTTGCATACGCCAATAACTTATCGCGGCACAAACGTACTTGTCCTTACATGCGCAACAGATTATTGCAACAAAAAAACAGCATGTCCTAAGATTGGTTCGTTCATTTGAATTACCATTTGTGATCTTGACTATTCTATATCAGACCAGTGGCTGCTTATCTGAACAAATTAGTTTTCCGATGAGTCTAAAATATATGTCAATTTAGTGCAAGTTTTCTAGGTTGTGACTTGTAGGATGAGAGAGAAACTGGTACCCATCATTGGCTTTGCCTTTTTCTCATCCTCAGAGGGAGCAAGATATGGCACCTCACAGAGATCAGAAAAAAGCGAGCTGGCAGGGCACACTTCCTCTCTCCACACGCCAAGCAGAAATAATAATTCCTGTTGGTGCTTTTATTGTGACATGGGCTTCAGTTCTGAGCTTCTTTTAGTTCAACATCTTAGCTCTCACACGCACCGAAAACCTTTTCAGTGTGAAAAATGTTCACTCTCATTTATGCATAGATCTACTCTTAGGAGACATCAAAATGTGTGCGGTGGTAGTTTTACTCTAAAAAGACATGTGTGTCCTTTTTGTGAACGTACATTTACTTACAGACATGATTTAAAAAGACATTGTAAAAACATACACGATAATAAGTAAAAGTGCATAACATTAATAATCATTATTGGTCTGCATTTTTATTTTTCGGACTGTTTTCATTCTTCAGTATTACCGAAAGTATGTCGCTGTTAACCCAAATTTTTTTTATGAAAGTGTAATAATATTCATTATGTAGCTTATTTATCTTTTTTTTTTTTTTTTTATGAGAGAAAGAAATGTCATGTTTTTGACAAATTTTGGAAAGATGGAACACACAATCATTCTTTCTTTCTCCAGCCACAAGGCAACAACGTACAACTAATCGCTCTCATTCATCTAAGAGGCCAGATGCTCATAATATGGATGACAATTTGGCCAAGTTCAAGTATGAATGTGAACTTTGTGGGCGCAAACTATTCCACCGTGGACATTATATTAGACACAGAAATAAGTGTCACCAGTAATATTTTAGTTGCTATAGTATGCAATTTCTTACAGTCATATTACAATGAACCATACTTCATATTTATACAGTACTGTGGTTCGTTCACTGTAATAAGTTTTTGAAAACATGTCAATCATACTTGGCACTTTTTCTACTCCCTGCAGTTGTTGGTGTTCTGTTTTTTAAAAACCAATTGCTGCAACTTTTTAAATATGTGTATATATAATTAAAAATATAAACGTACAAAATTCCGTAGGCTTCAGTGCACAGCTGGTTATTATTTATTTCAGTGTACATTTCATTTTTACCATAATTATTTACTGAATCACTGTTAGTCTGTTCATTTTATCTGTTATGGCAATTTATCTTCCTACTTTTCTTAAGTTTACAAAAAAAAATAGCTCATCTGTGAGGCTGACATCATAGACAAATGTATCCAGGTTACTTTTCTCCCGAGAAACTGACTAGTCATTTAATCAAGGCAGGAGCTACGAGTTTTGTATTTGTTTTTTCTTTTACAGCTTTGTGTTCTACCTTCACTAAGCATGTTCGTGGAAAACTCACCTTTACTCAACATGGATTGAATTCAAATTATTGTTTACTGTGTAGAAAGGCTTTTTGTGGGAAAAAAGATTATGATGGTCATATGAACACTAGACATTATGGATTGCGTCCTCATATTTGCAGCAGCTGTGGAAAATCATTTGCATATCAACAAAGTTTACGAAGACACAAAATACTTTGTCGTGTGCAAATTATTTAGTATCAGTTCCATTTGTTAATTCCCCTTATTGTATATGATTTACAATAGTTATCATACATCCAATTGGTCTGTAGTTGTGTTGTCTCTTAATAAGCGCTTTTCACCATCAATTGGGTTAATCTAGAACTATAAAGAGCAAGTTGTATTTGATTCTACACTTTAACTTGTCATTATACTTTTGTCTTTTTCTCCCCTAAAACCCCTATTTAAAGAAAAATTAATGAAGGGCAATTTCACCAAGAACTCATCCTGTTTTATTCTGCAGTTGGCATCGTTTTTGAAAAACATACAGCGGCTTTTGTTTCACCATGGTCCCATTTTAGTTCTACCTCTGTCAAGAATTTTGTGTGCAAGATTTGTGGTGGCCATTTCAAGAACTCTCGAGATCTGGATGGACATATGAATACCAAACACTTTAAAAGAAAACCCCACATTTGTGAAGTCTGTGGAAAGGGGTTTGCTTATTCTCAAAGCTTACACAGTCACATGATGTCTCATACCAAAGCAGGAAGGCTAAGCAGTCATGCTGCATTTTGATTTAGTAGTGACTTTTAAGAAATACATTTTGTAACATTTTGATTTTGATCTCGTGATCTTGAAATTCTTTACTGTAATTTGTTAGCCAACTTTTTGGAGCTGCTATTGTATTTTTGGACTATTAACATAATTTGCGAATAGGTACAACTAAAAATAGCTTGGAATTAGTGACTTCTGAATACAAAGCTCCCAACTCTTTTCTCTGCAGGATTTTATCTGGCTAGACACCAGTGTGATCTGTGTGGGAAGGAGTGCCGTGACAAAATTCATCTTCGTGATCATAAAAACAGTGTGCACTATAGATTTCTTCCATTTGCCTGCCTCTGTGGGAAAAAGTTTGCATATAAAAGCAGTTTCGTTCGACATACCCTGCTTTGTCAATTGTCTACCAAACAATTTTTTCAGTCTTAAAAACTTTTATCACCATTGTTTACAACTGTGCTTGCTAAGTGAAATTCTAAAGATACATTTCTTTTTTGGACCTGAGCCTGTTGCATTAATTCAAGGGCAGTTTTACTGTTTATGGCATTTTCATCTTTCAAAAACCTGGAAAACTTCATAGAACATCATTGCTAGTATCAAAAGAAAATAATTATTTTTTTAATAATTTTAGCATACATTCTTTTTTATGGGTTGCAAAAATTACTTTGTGTTCTGGTCTGATGTGAAATATATTAAACTTTAGGTTTGTTCTTGCTAACTGAAGTCACTCTTTTTTTTTACATTAATAAATAAGTGTATGTACCTGGTAGTAATCATTTCTTAAAAATTGTTTGTGGTGAAACTTGTACATTGAGGTAGTAGTTTATTTTATTAGTAGTTAAAGAGTACCCCACAGGTCAGAAGAATTTGTTTGATGTGGACACAATGACTTGTCTTCTCTGCAGGTGCAGCAATACTTGACTCTCATTCAATACTGACTCTGTGTAGACATCAGTGTGACATCTGCTTAAAGCGGTGCAGAGACAGAACACATTTGGAAGAACATAAAAACAGTGTTCATTTTAATTTACTTCTGTATTCTTGTGAATTCTGTGGGAAGAAATTTCCATATAAAAGAAATGTTGTGAGACACAAGCTTTTATGCCAGTATCAAAAACAGCTAGATTGAAATGCATATTCATCTCCAAATTTTATGTCAGATGTTATCTTATTGACTATATTAAATGACATTCCAATAAAACAATGGGATTGAATTTGAGATATGATGACCATAGTGTCAGCGGTTAGATTTTTTTGTTTGTTAATTTATCTTATTACTGTTGCCTTCTGGGTAGTTTCAATTTCTCCACATTGAACACCTTTGTTAGATCAAGTATAGTATTAGTGAACATATCTATTCATTTTACAGGTACAGGGTACTCCCGTTTTCAATGTAAAGCATGTGGACTACTGTGTCATCATCGAAAACAACTAGAAGAACATACAAATGCTGTGCATTATGGCTTGCTTCAGTTCTCTTGCCAATTTTGTGGAAAGCGCTTTGCTTATAAAAAGAACTGTCTTCGTCATATTAGGCTTTGCACCAAAAGACCTATTTATCTTTTTGAAAGATCAGATTTAACCACTTAATTTTTCTCACTTGATCAGATTATGTAAAAACTCTTTGAAAAGCACAATTTTTGTTTTAGTTGTTCATGTTAGGTTTCGATCTCCCAAGTTCTCTTGGTCTATATGTGCCAGAATTTCTAAAATTCTGCTGGGTGATTTTTTCTTTCCAATTTATCTGGTGGTGTCTCATTGTACATTTTAAAGTTGAACTTATTTTGGCAGTTTTTGTCTTGGATGAGTTGTTAAACAGCATAGAAGTGTATGCCAAAGCTGCAAGGATATCACTGTTGATCTGTTTATAAAGCAAAGATGTACATGTCCAGCTTGAGTGAGAGTTGAAAAAGCACTATGTTTACTTTCAGGTCCAGCAAATCTGAAGTATCGATGTGAGTTCTGCGGGAAACTTTGCCATCACAGAAATCATCTTCTTGAACACAAATCAGTAGTGCATTTTGGGAACATATCATTTTCATGTGAAAATTGTGGCAGAAAATTTGGATACAAAAGAAGCCTTCAAAGGCACAGGCTGATGTGTAAAATTCATTTTCCTCCATATTAAAGAAATATACTACTGCTTAACAGTAGCACCATAACACTGCTGGATGTAGTTGTCTATAATTTTGACTATTACAAACTTAAGAACAAAATGCCTGCTAATTGATTTTGCAATTATTTAGCCATCACAGCAAAATGTTACAGTAGAGCTAAATTGGAGTTTGATACTTTATGTGCAAAGGTTTATCAGAGAAATCAAAGAGAAATCAAACTATAGTTTAGTTATATTTCTTTATCTTCACTCTTCAGATGCTTGCCGATTCAAGTACCAGTGCGATATTTGTCACAAACGTATGCGTTCAGCGTGGGAATTGCGTGATCATAAAAACAGTTCTCATCTTAAAATTTTGGCATTTTCATGTGGCGCATGTGGGAAAAAGTTTGCTTATAAAAGAAATTTAAAACGCCATTGTTCATCAACATGTGGTGCAAGCAAAGAATTTTCAAATAACTCTATATCCCAATAAAATTGTGTTGATTTTTTAGCATTGACTAAGCTATTTGTCTCTTTCCTGACTCAAAACTGATTCAGTTTCTACCTGCTTTAAGACTTATGACGTTCTATTATTTTTTTCAAGCCAGCACCTTCTGGTTGAGCAGTTATCAAAGTGCTTCCATTCCTATTTTTTTTACATAAGTATTGATTTAGAGGGAATTACATTTAAAATGTAAACATTTCTAAATTCCCAGATGGTCAACAAGGATCCCATCCATGGTGCAACCTGTGTGCAAAACAACTACAAAGTGGTCGCCATTATAAGGATCATATGAACAGCGTTCACTTTAAAAAATTGCCATATGTTTGTAATTACTGTGGGAAAAAATTTGGCTACAAAAGTAACATGGTCAGGCATAAAGTCACAGTCCACTTTGATTATGAGAAATAGGCAAAGAAAATTCTGTTATTTTTTTTTTTAGTGTCATTGTGAGATAAACATTTTTGTTGTGTGCAGAAATTTTTTAATACCTTGACCTGCAGATTTTGTGTTGTGTATAAAATAAAACTTAGATTTTTTAATATTATTTGTCATCAAGGTGCACTAAACCAACATGTTGAGGAAATGTGTAGTTGTGATTTCTCTACTCAAAGTTTTAACTGATTGCTGGTAGTTAAAATTGAGGAATTCTTTTCTTCTGTGTTTCTTTATCTCAGTTAAAATTCTTTGAGCCTTTGTATGATAAACAGCGACCAGATATAAGTCTATGAGAATCAGGGTGGTAAATTTTTCTCCTCAGATCATAGCTTGAGACTGAATCGACCTACTTGCACCATTTGTGGAAAGTCATACCAAAAGCAATTACACGTCAATGAACACATGAACAGTGTGCACTTCAAGATGTCCCCTTATCAGTGCAAGAACTGTGGAAGATGTTTTCCCTACAAAGGGAGCTGGGTTCGTCATGTAAAAACAGTATGCAGACAGCCTGATTTCTCACGATTACTGGAGCCACTACCTTGATCATTCTAACAGCCTCAATATGTCTGCTAATAAGGAAATATATTCTGAATGGGCCAAATTTAGTTTGCATCTTTACCATACATTTTCTTCTTTCCTCTGGCAGATATGTTGTCTTTTCTAGTTGGTGGCAAATTCCTTCTTAAAAGATGCAAATAAAGTTGTTTCCTCTTTCACAGATATGGCAAACTACAGAAGTTGTGACTACTGTGGTAAAAGGTTTCAAAACAACTTTCATCTACAAGAACACATACATGCAGTTCATTATGGATTGTATCAATATAATTGCCCAAAATGTGATAAAACATTTGCATACAAGAGAAGTTTAAAGCGCCACATTTTGTTACATAGTTCTGCCTCTGTTCAACAAGCAGCTCCTGATATCGTTTTTCATGGTGGATCTTTGCATTTATAGAATGGGGTTTTCTGGCACTTTAAAACCATTGAAGAATGTATCATTCTTTTAATATTTTCAATCAGTTGAATTAAAATATTTGAATGGAGATGTTAATGCTCAAAGAAATTGGTTATACATTTTTCTTCCTTAGCTGGCCTTCCTTAACCTCTAAATTTTGCTTTTGTAAGTTTGTGAACTGCATAGCTTATTTTATAAAATGATTGTTATTGTTCATCTGTGTGACATGGCTTGAGCATTCTAAGGATTTGAAGACTTTTAAAATAGATACTCTGTGTTCTAGAGAATTTCAGTTTGGTACAAGCGTATTTTCATTTTTGTTTTTGTCATTTTTCACAGATATTTCTAAAATTTCTGGGTTGTATTGCTGTAGTTGTGACAAACATTTTTCAAGCAAATTTCACCTACAAGAGCACAGAGATGCTGTACACAAAAAGTTGAATCAGCATTTATGTCCACTATGCCTCAAAGCATTTGCCTATAAACGAAATATGAAACGCCACTTCACAATGTGCAGATTTACAAATACATAAATTGGATAAGGAACTGAATGCTATTAGTTTTTCTATCACATCCGGATTTTTCAGAATTCTCTAATCGGCTCTTGAATTTGAGAAGTGTCACTTTTAGACTATGTTTTTCTCTTTTTATGATGAAGAATGTTTATAAACCATTCCTTGGTCGTTAATCTTGTTTTCGCTTTTCCCAATAGTAGTCTTCTTTTCTGCTCTCCAGGTATGTTGCAGAGCTCTACTTTCAGGCGCCATGCATGCACAATTTGTGGGAAACTCTTCCTAAATGCCACACACCTGAAAGAACATACAAATGGTGTTCATTTTAAGGTCATGCCGTATGCATGTGAATATTGTGGTCATAAAGTAGCATACAAAAGTAACCTAAAACGACATATGGCTTTCTGTCAACTGGTACATTCTAAGAAAAAATAGATCTGGGCATCTTGTTGTTGTTCATTGCTTTTGGTAGTTGTTTTTCTGATATTAAGTTATCTTTGGTTAAAAGGCTAATGTATTTGAATGATTTGATGTTCACAAGCACTTTTCCATACTTGTACCAGTGTATTTGTTCATTCGTTTTTGGTTAGGTAATTCCTTCTTATTGTCTGTCTGTAACTTCTTTTGGATTATGTGGTCATAAACATTAATTGGCCAACCTTTGATATAAATATTTATGAAAGCAGGCGATTCTGTAACTGGATTATTTTATGCTCTCTCCTCAGGTGGAAAGTACTATTTGCCACACAGCTGTAGAATGTGTGCAAAAACATTCAGGGATGGTTACTGTCTAAAAGAACATGAAAATAGTGTCCACTTTAAACGCTGTCCGCATAGGTGTCCCAATTGTGGCAAAGGTTTTGCCTACAGACAGAATATGAATCGACATACACTTACATGTGCAAGATCTGTTAAGCTCAAATATTTGAATTCTTTAATTCAAAAATAAGCGCATAAAACCTACATGGGACAAGCAGCTGTATCAAAATAAAGATTTTTTATCCCTCTTCCTCAGGTATCCACTTAATTCCAAGTTATGGATGTGATATCTGCGGAAGAGCTTTCAAGGATTCATACCGTCTAGGGGAGCACAAAAATAGTGTGCACTTTAAGATTTTCCCACATCCGTGTCTAAAATGTGGCAAGCGGTTTGCTTATAAACACAATATGACTAGACATAGTATCTTGTGCAGTAGGAGAAATATACTCTGATAATATCTTACTAAGCTGATTGTTCCTTTGGTCCTAATGATTTTTTCTTTAGTTATCTTGTTTTTTTTTTAAAAAAACAACTAATCTATTCTTTCTTTGGTTCTGGTATTATCAATGACTTTTCTGTAGGGGTGTCCTTTCTAGTGTTTATTGCTATGTAATATTGCTGATTTATATCAATCCCTAGTGAAAATCTTTGTGTGCAACTTGTTTTATAAGCTCATAGTGCATATTGACAAACTACATTTACAGGATTATGCATGCATCTTCCACAGATTTATTTTATAAAGCAAAGTACCGGTGTGAAATATGTGGAAAGCACTTACAAGATTCATATCATCTAAGGGAGCATAAATTTAGTGCCCATTTAGGAGTTGCATTATTTTGTTGTTCAAAATGTGGAAAGGGCTTTGGGTATAAAAGAAACTTTAAGAGACATAGTTTGTTGTGCAAGTTATAAAATGTGTCATTCTGAGTTCAAAATTCATGTTTATTTGTATTTTAAAATTGATGTGTGTTGAAAAGGTGTCCTTATTTCAACATTCTATTTATTTTACTTAAATTGCAATAAATTTTTGTTACAATTAAACAAAATGTGTATTTATCTTAAACACTTAATGATTTTCTTTTCTCATCCTGAAAAAAATGTCAAATATTTATTAAAAATTAATCCTATTTAATTTTTCCTTGTAAAACATTGGAAACTATTTTGTTTTTGGTAGTAATTATCACTTTTATTAGTTATTTAAAAAATGTATTTTTATATCTGCCTTTTTTTATATTGACTCCACAATGTGTCATCTTTAGGCAAAATTTGCATCATTATTATGTTTATCCAAATGATCTTAAATGCTTGTTATCCTACTTCTCACCAAATATTTATGATGATCATCATTAATTATGAAAGGCCAATAAAGCTGTGTATATATAACATGTTAAACTTGCATTGTTGTTTTCTTTGCATGTTTGATGGTTGTTATTGGTGTTCTTAAATGTGCAACAAGTATCTTTGTGTTAAATTACATGAATAAATTTGGCAAAAAGAAAATCTAACAATGCCAAAAGGAGAAAAATTTCTATTTAACCTAATGTATGTTCAAAATCAAATTATGAAAAGCTACAAACAAATGGCAATCATGAGATTCATTTTATTAATCAGTTTACAACAAAACTTGGAAATTCTGAAATAAATGTAATTTTAAATGGCAATATTTGAACATAAATCGTCAACCTGTGAACTCATAGGTCAATTGAGACCTTTTGTTTTGTTTTTAAAACACTTTAAAATTATGCACACACATTGGGAATAGCTTTGTGTAGTAGCACATCTTAACTGAAAAACTAAACTACAAAAAAATTGTACTTTGTGCTACTTCTCAAACAGCTTTCCTTTGAATTTTCTTGTACTTGTTTTTAATGGTTGAACAGTATTTACTAATTAATATGTATACCATTATTTTAACCTTACATTCGGTTTCATAAATAAAGCTTTTTATATTTTTAATATTTGGGGTGCACTAGCTGTGATTCGTCTTTCTATAAGGATCTGTTATTTGTTCTTTCCCAGCTCTATTCAATACAAGAACTCCAAGAAGGCGGCTAATTGATTGCGAGACTTGTCACAAAGTGTTTACATGTAGAAGAGATTACAGCGATCATATCAACAGTGTTCATCTGGGCATTGCTTCATATGAATGTCCATACTGCTACAAAACTTTCAATTACAAGCGCAATAACGTACGACATATTGTAACATGCAAGATGAGGCCTATTGGTGCCAAGCTTGAATTGGGATGATCAGTTATTTTCGTTTTGCTAACCAAGAAAAAAAATTCAAATTTGCTTGGGAATGAATAAGAGACAATGACCAGACTGGATATGGTTTCAAAAAAATGTGTTTTTTCAAAGGAGAATTATTTATTTTATTTGTAATGAGCAATACTGCTTGTTTTGTTGTGAAGTTTGAATTGACCTTCAAAGAAACAGTGCATCTCTTTAGACTGGTTCAGTTTTTTTTTTAAAAAAGAATTTGTTGATTTGATGGTGTGATAAAATATATTCATTACATTTCAGATGTAATTAATATACTACAGTTAGTAGAGAATTTTGACTTTATTGTGTAGTTAATATTTTTTATTCTTGTTGTTCACTGAACAGTGTTACTCTCAATTTTTTTTTTTTTCGTTTTCAAATGCAGCAAATTTCTGTCTGCAGGATTTGTCATCTCTTCACGAAGAAAGGCAGGGCTTTTACTAAGTCGGAGCTACAGGCGTTTTTTCTGCCCTGTCCCAGCATGCAGTAACAACTGTCAGAGAATAGGCTTCACTGAATGTGAACTGAAACGTCACTGGTCAGAAAAACATGAAGAATATGTTCAAATATATCACTGTGCTCTGTGCAGTTTTGTGACCAAAAGGAAGGGCAATGTCAATAGGCATATTAAAACAACTCACAGTCAAGATGTTGAGTCATGTATAGGAAATGTGGATTATCAGCTGAACCGCGAATATGTTCCACCTCACCCTTTTACCTATAAGATGGCTTTAAATGGAACAAGAGATAAAAATGACCTGTAATTCAGTCTTTCAAAAAATTATTTTACAACCAACAGGATCAGCTGTTTGTATTTTCTGACTTTTATGTTGCCTGCCTCTGTCATAAAACATTACTTGTAATGCAACTGTTCCCTACTTGTGAGAATCAAGGTTCGAATGTCATGAAATTTTGTCAGATTAACAGGCACCTTCCTGTGGTATATTTTCCCCATTGCTGGAAATAATGGTGTGATTGCTCAACAAACTCAACAACATGCTTATTTTTGCTACATGGAAAAGAAGTACAGAACAAACAGTGAATTAATTCAATTCAATTTTAATTCAATATTATGTTCTCCAAATAACAGTAGAACAATTTGAAAAACAAGCCTTTTTAACTATCAAAAATGTTTATTTTCATCAATTGATTTTTAAAAGATTATCCAAATGAAAATGTACAATTATTTTATAATTTTACTCATTGAACCCAAATCAAAAATGTAAGAGATATAACTTGTCATTTTGTTCACCTCAGATGGTAACAAAAATAATAGATTATTAGCATATTGACTTTTTATCTAGTTTCTTCTATTTTATCTTTAAATAAAATGTAATTTGCTTCAGATGTGAAAGAAAGTGTAAATAAGCACTTTATTGGAGTATTTAACAGACAGTAGTTAGTCATACCAGAGCTACAGCTCATCGTTGTATTTATTATCTCCAGGGCAAGGTTTCAAATCTAGCACTGGATTCGGGGTACAAGGAAAAGGATGTCCTGTTAATGGTTGTGAAAGATTTCAGTTAAAGAAAAGAAAACCTTTGCTTCGGCACTGGCGGGAGCGACATGAAAAATTTGTGATCAAGTATAAATGTTCTTTGTGCGCTCATGTGTACAAAAGGAAGGAACATTTTGATAATCATGTTATAAATAAGCATGGAAGATTTTCTGATAATGTTTATTTTATTGAAGAATGCCATCAGAACAAGCAGTACATTGATCCTGCACCATATACCATTGAAATGGTTTTTGGTACTGGTCCCATAAAGAATTTTAAACAGGCTTGATTGTTTAGTACATTCTATTTTCTAGTAGAATATTTGAATAACACCATGCTTTTTGTAAATTATTTAAGTTTATTTTTACAAAATCTCAAAGTACGTAAACTTTATTCAGCAGTTGTTTATGCTACAAGAGCTTCTGATAACATTCTATTCCCTTGTTGCAAACAGTTTATAATGCCAAAGACTTGGGTTTTGTTTTATGGTTGGAATGTCTTTATATCCTGAAACAGCAGTGTATGAAGATATTAAATATTGCAAATTGAAACAATCATGTTAAATAAAATTCACAATTATTATTAACTTGTCTTATGTTGTCTATATTCTGGTATTCCATTTTGTTGTTTTTCTGTTTTTGTAATTACATATCTAAAGTAATTTTAGCATTCAACAGTACTACAAAATTAGAAAGCAATTCAGCACATAATTTTATTATTCAACAGGTATAAAGAAAATATATCCTGTGCAAATGTTTAAAGTAAAACCTGGATGTAAGGACAAGATAATGCCATCCAAAGCCAAACGTCATAATAATAGGAGAATCACTAATAAGAAATATTC